GGGGCATGCTGAAATTATCCGTGTTCGGGCATTCAGTCTTACCAACAAGGAAGTGACTGAGGGTTCGGGCTTGGCTGTAGGGACCTCTGACCGACAGCCGTCTGTGGCCGTTCTGGACTGTGTGTGGTTATCGAAAGAACGATTGAAAGGGAGCACTTGTGTTACAAATAGAATCTGAGTCATGACGCTGTGACAACGTTGATGCAACAGTATGGCTTCATCAGTAAATGGTGGTGCTTGCCGGAGCCGTACCCTGACGGCGTTTCACTGCATTCTTTGCGCATTCACGGGATCTATCCCTCACCGCAGCAACAGAGGCAGCAGTACCGGCACCAGCCACCCTCAAGACTGTTGCATCCGGAGGTTGGGCGGATGCCTTCCAGTCCTGCTTCAGCTGCCCATCTTCTGGTGTGCGTCTGAGGGAATGGTTCAGGGATTTTGGTTTAGGATCTAGGGTTTAGGGTTTTACCGTAAGGCTCTAAGGACCCAGATTTTGAGACTTCTGGGCCCAAAGACCATGCCACAAAAAGGCTTTTGGGCTAGTTTGAGCCTTCGGGAATGGGTTGGGTTGGGATGTTGTTGCAAGACCTGTGTTATACCATATTACTAAATTTCTTTTACCATATGGTTACATGATTATGTCAATGCAGTTCATACTGCAATCCTTCATGACCCCAGGTGGCTTCTACCTTGGGAAGCGTGGTAATCAAGTACCAAAAGCAAGCAGGTTTTCAGGTACCAAGAGCAAGACCATGAAAGCTTGTCATAGTTGTTTGGTAGCGAGATGACAACTTCAAAAAAGGGGTGAACGGCCGTAATGGTCTGCAGGAGTAAGCCCCAAACCCTAAAAACCAGTCGCGGTCTCCAGAGAGTGTGATGCAGCCTGCTAGGATTCATGTCCTTGAGGAGTGAAGGGGGCTTGGTAAGTCAAAGTTTGGAGAGTGCTAGGTTTGTGGAAGTTGTGACGTTAGATTATTGTGGCTTGATGATCCATAAGTACAACCTTTGTTATAGCTTACCGGTCCACTCTTCATGAGCTTCTTCTACTACTTGATCAGGACAGTAATGTCCTGAAATCCAGGATTTAGCGAATAAAGAGAAAACCAAGGCGGGGCCTCCGTACTACTGACTGTAGGCAAGAGGCTGGCCAGTATCCAAATGGCAGTCCCGATCACTACGGTGGATACTAAAAATCCTACATGAATCTAGGTACCTTATACCTTGGGAACTATGGTATTACTGTATAGTCAGGTCATGCAGGATTTTTAGTATCAACAGTAGCTATATAATCCCTATAACTTTACACTCGAAACCTCTATATAGCCTGGTCATATAGTAGTTTCCATTTTCTTTTTTCATTACCCCTGAGTAGACAAGCATCCTTACCGTAGTCACCTCAGTCATATCGGAAGAAGCAGGAGCCTTTACGGGGTGTGGCGACGACTGGCTGCAGAGAAGTTCCCGCGCCTTGGAAAGAAGCATCATCAAACCTGTTGAAATCACCTTCGTATGTGGGATCTTAAGTCAGTCGAAGCCTGCTGCCAGCATCCCTCTTGTGAAGACATGGTTTGCCATTCTCCACATTCCCACATTTGTTGGTGGTGCTTCGTCAGCGTTAGAGCAATGACCGGGTGCGTGTTGGCGGTGTTTCGACAAGACAATGATCTCGAGCTATGTTTTGAAGATTAGGGGTCCATTCTGGGGGGTTCTATGAGAATTGAAGTATTCGGGGGTATGCAAAGGGCCCTTGAGAACCTCGGCGTTCACCATGATACCATGTAACGGGCGAAGACAAACCAGATGGCTCAAGTCCCAGTAGGCGCGGATTCGTCCCGGGGGTTTACGGAGTTTCGACGCCTGTTGTTGCGTCCTTTTTACGTCTTACAACTCTGCTTGTTCATGCTAAAAAGACTGTTGAAAAGGCGGCTGTGCCTCTTACTTACTGTGCGTCTCCTCGAAAATGGGGGTTGCTTCTGTACGTACGTGGAATACGGCAACAGTAATTTGCATCTTTGGGTCTAAACATGTTGGAAACTTGCCATGTATCACATCACTGTCATGTGCACTTTAAATCCCAGCTCTGAGCCGGAATTCCTGGAACCTTGAATCCGACAGTCAATGCTGATTCCGCCCTGAACCCTATGCCCCGAACCCTAGACACTACACCCTAAACCCTGAAGCTTAAACCTAAATCCTAAAATTCTGCAACACGGAAGAGAGTCCGCCAAAAGAAAAGCTTAAAATCTGAACCCCAGACCCTAAACCTCAAAGCCTGAGCCCTAAACCCCCAAAGCCTGCCTGAAAAGCCAACAATGCTAGGGTTTAGGGTTTAGGGTTTAGGGTCTACTTTCCTATCGTTTGAGTTAAAGTAGCCCATGTTTTTGCATAGGCAGGCATTCTATGTAGACCCTATGCCCTTAAACCCCAGACCGTAAACCCCTAGACCCTGAACCCTTAAGTTAATCCTAACCTTGGTAAAACCCCAAATCCCTTAAACCCCTAAACTCTAAACCCTGAGACCCTAAACCCTTCATGAATCCTAACCCAAGCAACTCTTAAACCTTTAAACCCCTAAACCCTAGACCCCTAGACCCTAAAGCCTTCATGAATCCTAATCCATGCAACCCTTAAATCTTTGCAAGGCGCTACATGCCCTCAAACCCCTAAAACCCTAAACTCTAGACCCCAAGCCCCAAATCCCGAACCCTAGACCTTAAGTTTTCCATAAATCCCTGCAAGGCACTACACCGAAGGATGGCTTTGGGTGCCGTCCCTTGCGCAGCCGAATCCCGACTTCCAGTTCAAGCCGGAGCCTCAGTCTGTGGGCTTAGCCAGTTGAAGGATTGTTGGATTTAGGGTTTAGAGTTTAGGGTTTACTTTAGCGTTTAGCGGTTGAGAGTTTAGGGTTTAGGGTATCTCACGCCCCCCTAGCGTGTAATACAATCACTAGCAATTGTGGAGCTTCAACTCTTCATTATAGCAGCTTGCGTTGTGTGAACTTGTAGGCACGACCAAAAGGCCGTATCTTCGAGTTTGTGGTGCTTTGGGTTTAGGGGTTTGGGGTTTATGGCGGCTGCCTCGGGCTGTGTGTGGGTGTCTTGTGCGCGGATAACGCCCGGTGCTCGGGCTTGGGGTCTCAGGTTTAGTCTGTGGGCTTGCCCGCCAGGACCCCCCAAGTACACTTAATTGTTCATGTAGGGCTTACGATGCACCTGAACCGCAGGTACTACCAGAATTCCCCGAGCACGCTTAAAAGGATAGTGGGTACTTGGGCAGTCTAGGTTGCGTTCAGGGCTTAGGATTTAGGGTTTAGGGCTTAGGGTTTAGGGCTGGTAAGCTTTTGCAAGGGGAAGACAGCGAGGCTATCCTGGGGCCATAGTTTCATCTAAGCGATGGGCTCCTCATATAATGGTTTAGGGTACCCTAAGCTCCTAAATCCTAAGCCCCAATTCCGACCCTTAACCCTACAGGCCCCATAGCCAAACTTTAAACCCTAAACCCTGACCGTTAGACAACCTAGCTCCTCCCGAAGCCAGTTTTTAGGACATCTCTGCGTTTCGGCGTTCCTGACACAACTCCCCCCATGCCAGAGGTTTCTGAAGACGAGCCCATGCAGGCTCCTTAATCGGGACCCCATGATCCCTGTCTACGTCCCTAGGGTACCCCCATCTTGAAAAACCAGGATGAACCGCTTAGAGTAAGACCTTGGAAGAACCCGGAGGTTCCAACTACCTTACAATCGTATACTTGCCCAAGCCCTGGAGCAGAATTACTATTACCCCAAACCTAAGTCCCTAATTATTGGGGAAGTTTTGTAGGCCGTCCTTACTGTGGGGGCCGATTTTCGGAGTAACTATGCCTTAAACCATAAACCTTAAACTGGCCCTAAACCCTAAAACCTAAACTCCAAACCCTAAAGTACAAGAGCCTGGGAGTTGCCGTGCCTTGGAATTAAGGCCAACTAACGATGAAGCGTGGGGGGATGGTATAGGGGAGCTTAAGGGAACCCATACCCTAAACATCCCTAAGCCCTAAACCTTAAACTAGAGTTTAGGGTTTAGGGTTTAGGGACCCTAAACTTCCCTCAGCCCTATAAACCCTGATGCAAGCCCCAGGTATGATTGGCTGCTCCAGTTCCAGGATGGTAAGCCCGAGATGGGATGGGAGAACTACCTCTCATACCTGGTGGCCTGCCTATTGTTTAAGGGGTTTAGGGTTTAAACTAAGGTTTAGGGTTTAAACTGAGGTTTAGGGTTTAAATTAGGGTTTAGGGTTTGAATTCGGGTTTAGGGTTTATTCTGAGGTCTTTAGGAGGGAACCTTCATGGGGACCCCTATAAGGAGCAATAGGGAGACGACCTTCTTATAGATGGGGTATAGAGGGATTAGATACGAATGATGTAAGGTACTGGGATTAGTGGCCCCCTCTCCCTCTTAAGAGCCCTTGATTTAGGGGCCATTGGTAACGCAAACGCTTGACAGGCGGAGGTTGGCAGAAAGCTAATAAGCATAAGGCCGCGCAAGGTTTGTGTAAGGTCGAAAGGTGCCTGTGTTATGGCTTGCATGTGCACTTCGCTGGCCTTTTGATTAATTGCCCTTAGTTGCGACAGCCATGGGACGAAGGTACAATCCCTCAATCCTGGAATCCTCATGTATGTAGTATATACCCTGTATGTACCCTTAAGGACCCCTAGAGGCCCTAAAATAGGCCCCCCTTCGATTCTTGTATTGCTGAATGAGGCGGCTATTGAAAACTCAAGATTTGGGCTTGAAGGAGGGGATATCTGCCAGCTCTAGCGAGCACCAGTTTTGTCCCGAAACAAGTACCAATATTGCAAACTAAGAGTGAAGAGTACCTGAAATAGACCTCAAGACGAATTGCAAAAAACTAGCGGATGTGAGGCATTAGGTGTAGGGTCCTCTAGGCTCCTAACATGGGATTTCTAGAAATTAGGGGGGGGTACCATTTTTGGGGTGTCCATAGTAAGGGTGATAGTATTTTTGGGCTCTAGATTGGGTCACCCTGAATATGGAAGCTACCACATTTTTGACGGCATCTTCATGTTCTAGGCCTAGACGATTTGGTATGTCGAGCCAGGCCGCCTAAAGCCCGTGCGCATGTTATGAAGTTGGAAATCTGGTGTGTTATCCCCAGTAGTGGTGAATCAAATGGACAAGAACATGGAAACGAAAAGGGAACCGGGATTATATAGGTATTTATAGGGTTTTAGGCTCTGCAGGTGACTGGCGCAGTGCAAACAGTACTTGAGCTGTCCTTTGAGTATTCTCGAAGCAAACCTATAAATCCACAAAAGATTCAGACCCTAAACCCTAAACCAAACCTACCCAGGTAGACCTTGAAATCCTGAGGTGTTCCCTGTTCTGCTGGTCGGATTTACCGTTTTCCAGCAGCAGCAGGCAAGAGTCAGCGAGAAATCTAGGATGCGTGGGTTCAATTTAGGGTTCAGGGACCAATATCGGAGAATCAAATGAACACATGCAAAACGCAATGGGAACTGGGAGAATACGGCGCCAGCTTTTTTGTCATAACTTCAGTCTTACAAGTGTTGCTATCTCTATCTAACTCCTGTATGTCCCAATGAGCCACCATACCCTGGGTGTATGGTGCATGACATGGCTTCCAAGTCAACTTAATTCTCGTTCTGGAAGCCCCTAAGCCCTATTACATAAACCTTCGATAATCCGTATATGACCCCTACACGGCGCCTATAGAACCCTTGTATACATGCAGTATTCCCTTTTAGAACCCCTATATGAGTTATAGTCCAAACTCCTAGTATCCCCCTTACAATCCCCTACAAAAGTCCGCATGCAATCGTTCCCTTTCTAACCCTTTTTATGGAGTTTAGGTTACAGCTCTAATATAACCCGTATATAACCTCGTTGCAATCCCAGCATTCGGACAGCTAGTGATGCTTGGACCACTTTTGATGCACTAAGCCCCAGGCATGCAAACATAAGGGGATTGTATGGGCGGTTCATATTGGGGTTATATGGGTTTTAGGGGGTCCCCAAATAGAGAAGCGCTTTGCAAAGCAAATGGAAAATTAATTGGAAACTGGGGGTGTGAAGGGGCAACAGCCTGAATGATCCGAATTAGAGGCAGCATCCATAACAATCACATGTTCAACGCGAGCTCGCGGAACGGAAGTAGTCGAAATCCAATCAGCCTACCTCAGATTTGTTCGTCTTTGGGGACCCAGAGCTTCGGGTTTAAGGGTTTAGGGGTGCAAAACCTTAAGCCATTAAAAAACAAGGAATCTAGGCCCTAGGGTTTATGTTGACATCCCGAGCATTGATTTGAGAGTTTGTCAACTTCGGGGGGGGTCCTTAATTTCCCCGAGGGTAGAAGGATTACACTCCCCCCAACTAACATGGAAACCCATATAGTCCCCTTTCAAAAGGACTGTAGTCTTTATAGGCCCTTTTCGGGTTTCCATGTTAGCTTCCGGGAGGGTATACGAGATTTATTGGGGGGTTTTTATTGGCATTCAGCAGTCTATAGGGATGGTTGTGAGAAATTCCCACTTGTTGCACTTCCTAAGCTTGTTTTGAAAAGCAGGTGATTGAGTAATCAGGATTGCCTGAAAGCTCTGCAGTTGGGTCACTGCTGAACATAATGATGAAATTGTAAATAGTGTCCCATATCCAGGACCCCCTCCCCCCCAACTAGTTGCCCTAAAAACAGGATCTATTTTCTGCTATTTGCGGTGATGTGGGTTAGAAGGTGCCTGGAGGGTCTAGGAAGGCAGCAAGCAGCCCCAAAGCCCTAAACCCCTCAACCCTAAACCGCTGCAAGCCAGGCGCAGGCAAGCCGCCCCAAGACAGGCAACGAGGAGGATACGCAGAATTTGGTGCTCCAGGTGCTTTTTGGTTTATGCCCGTTTCGGCCTTGGGGTTTAGGATTGGGGATTGGGTTTTAGGGCTTAGGGTTTATCGTTTAGGATTTAAGGCCGGAGCTGTTAAGGTGAAGGATTGTAGGCCTGCGAGTGTTCAAGGTGGAGAGGGGGTGAATAGTGTATCATAAGCATCGGATTCGATAAGCTGTAAACCCTTAAACCCCTAGACTCGAACCACCTAAAGCTTAAGCCCACAAAACCTACACCCCTAAACCTTGAATCCTAAACCAATAATCCTAAACCTTACTTAAACCCTAAAACATCAAAATCAATTTGCCAGATGTGGCCAAAACAGGCCAAAGCGTACCATTCGTCACCTTAATATGAGCTGTAAGCTAAACTCCTAAAAGGCGGTCATATATGGGACTAGATAATAAGGGTTTAGGAATTAGGGTTTAGGGTCTAAACTCGTCAAGGGGGTCATATATGGGATTGCATAGGGGAGTATTGTAATTATAGCGCTCTTTAAGGGGATGCTGGGACTGTAGAGTATACCTCATATGGAGAGGACCATGTTGCAACAGCTACATCTACGACTATACATTCACGACTACCACGGGAATACTTTTTATTAGAGGAGTCGGGGAGTTTATCATTAACAAAGGTAATCCTTGCATACATATATGTGACCCAAGTTTGCACTTTCCAATTCATTTTAGGTCCGAGTCTAATGCTATTTAGGGGGTATTGATTCCAAAGCGCTCTAACCCCCAAACCGATTCCTGCTTAAGGTCATTATTAGTTGGTGGGGTTTCAACCAAAATTATGGGACAAAGGATTGTTGAAACTGACAGCACGACGTGGGTTAGACCAGCACCCAGCAATAGCGCTAGAACACCAATACGTAGGGACCCCAATATACTTACCATTATCACTGGCGGTCACTATGAGTGGGTGGTGCCCTAAACCCTAAGCCCCTAAAGCCCTAAATCCTAAACCCTAATTAAGCCTTAAACTCTAGATCCTAAACTCTGAACCCTAAACCCAAATTAAGCCTTGAACTCTAGATCCTAAACTCTGAACGCTAAACCCTAAACCCTAAACCCTAAATTGTGAGCTTGTTAGGTGCTGCCCTGGATCTCTGTCTACTTCATCGGCAGCTTGTCCCTCCAGCTCCCGCAGGTCTGCACCCGGGGCAAGCCAGAAGTCCGCAACGGAGTGGGAAGGGATTTAGGGTTCAGGGTTTAGGGTTTAGGGTTCAGGGTTTGGGGTTCAGGGTTTGGGGTTTAGGGTTCAGGGTTGAAAGTTTAGGGTTCAGGGTTTGAGGTTCAGGGTTCAGGGTTCAGGGTGTAAGGTTTAGGGTTCAGGATTTGAGGTTCAGGGTTCAGCGTGTAGGGTTTCGGGTTTAGGGTTTGGAGCTGTATGCGGACCAGATCTTGTTGATATGAGAGTTTTCCACTATTTTTCACAACTCTAGCCAAGACGACATGTAGACAGAGGGATATTCTTCTAGTCATAAGTTGGCAAGTCTCGGACATTCTGTTCATGGATGAAATCTTGCACCACCTAGGGGCCCTAAACTACTGTAATTCCTGGGACATTTAGGGACTTAACGTGGTGTAAGACTTCCTCCACCAACAGTTGTTCAAGAACATGAATCCATGCTGAGTATCCACTTCAGCACGGGAAGGGGTTATAACTCTATCGGAGTGCTTCCGCGAAATCGGGGAATCTTGAATCTAACGTAGAGGTCTGAGTTGCATATATTATTGTTCCAGTTTGTGGCTGTGTAAGTATGATATAGCCTGCCTCAAACGGACCTGAACTGAATTTGGTAATTCTTTAGGCCCCTTTATTAGATGGAGATGCCGGAGTTAATGGATTCGTACTGAAGAGTTGGCACCTTCTATTCCTGCTACGCCAAAGAGTACTGATTTGTTGACCGTCCTGACCGTCCATTCAGCTTGTACTGAGGGTTATGGCGGGAAATCCTTCCACTGCGCATGATCCCGACCATGACATACGACAACTAATCTCAATAGTGCCATCTCATTGTTTTTGGTTCCTGTCATTCGGTGAAGGGGCGATTCAATATCAGCATCAGCTTGTCAAGATCAGCTGTTGTAAGCTTGAGCAGTGCAGGCAGTGTCGGTTTACTACTCCATGAACAGTGCCCTGTCACTGCTGCAGACGTCCGTCGTGGCTGCCTCAGCAACACCCCATGCTAAACGACAATTTGGCGTATACAGCAACACAGCCTGACAGGTACCCTGCAAAGCCCCTGTGAAGTATTGCATTGTATATGAGAAGCCATCACCTGTTGCACCAAGTCTTTGTGGGAATGTATGTGTTACTCACCCTGAACCCTAAGACCCTGAATCTGAAGGTCCTTAGTGGTGGGACTGGACAATTTCGAGGTCATGGCCATTCGTCTTCAGGGTTTAGGGTCTATGCGCGTACAGAAGTAAAATAATGGATAAACGAAAGGGACAGTGGAGTTTACATGAGGCTTATAGATATAATGTCCTCAATTATGGTCCTAGGTTTCTTGCGCAAGTCTAGTATAGATTATTTGAAATAGACCTCAAAATGGTATTCATGGGTATTTAAGGCCCCTGCAGTATGTTACGCAAGGCACCATGGGATGACATAGAACACAAAGGAGGGACTTAGAACAGGCAATGGGGAAGGATTTCTGGAAGGCTTGCCCACGACAATCTTTCTGAAATCAATTGGTTGACGGTGCACTAGCAACCGTAAAGTTGGCCCCGAACCCTAATCCCTAAAAAAACCAGCCAGCTGCGGAGATCAGTGGTGGCCCTCTAACCCAAAACCCAAAACCGTGTCCGAGGTCAAGTGGGCTTTACCCTAGGGATCTAAGTGTACAAATAATACCTACATTGGGCCCCAAAGGCTGTAAATATCAGTTGCATTGGGCTATTTGGATCCCTAAAACCTCTACACCCCAAATCCTTAACCCTAAACCCTGAACTCTATCTCTGCAGTACCTGCATTGGGCTATTCGGATCCCTAAGCCCCCTAAACCCCACATCCTTAACCCTAAACCCCGAACTCTACACCCTGCAGTACCTGCATTTGGCTATTTGGATTCCTAAAGCCCCTAAACCCCACATCCTTAACCCTAAACCCTGAACTCTACACCCTACAATAAATACATTGGGTCTATTTGGATCCCTAAAATTAGGGCTTAGGGGCAAAACCGTGTCCAAGGTCAAGTACGGGCTGCGACAGGAGATCCCAGGCTACGAGGAGTTCGAGAGGCCTGGCTTGCCAAAATGCTATGGTTTAGGGTTTAGGGGAGAATTGGGGTGTAGGTTTAGGGTTTAGAGGAGAATTGGGGTTTAGGGTTTCGGGTTTAGGGGAGAATTGGGGTTTAGGGTTTAGGGGAGAATTCAATGGACAGGAAGATGGAAAATGGAATGGAAGCCGGGTCTATAGGGGGTTGTAGGTAGGGAAAAACTCAAGTCCTAGCCTGATAGGGGGGAGCTTTTCTTCAGGTGGAGCGGCAAAACATTCAATTCTGCATGCGTCGGATGACCCAGCATAATATAAACCTATGTAACCCCCAATATATACCCAATAACCCCTATAGTTTCAATGTTCTTTTCCGTTATCCCTATATAGCCCTAATATGACCCCAATATTTGTGTATCTGCACAGCGATGGCCAGAAGTCCTTTCTGAGTACGTTTGCCACTTTCGCAGCCCGGGGTTGCGGTTGAGGAATTCAAAGTGGGGGTTTCCAAAATTTAAGGTCCTTTGAAGGGGTGATGCGGGTTATATAGGAGCAATATAGGATTTAGGGCTTAGGGTTTCGCTAAATTAGGGGTACTATTTTGGGCCGTCCGAATAATAAGGATTGTATTATTTTGGGTTCCCACATTTATGGAAGCTAAGAACTAAGTTGCTAGAACATGCGGATACAGCAAATAATAGCGTTTATTTATGATAGCAACTTAGGTTAAGCTCCTTAACGGCAAGACATCTTGTCAGGACTGGCAAGTTCCCCGAGGGCACGTTCGAGGAGATGGTGAGGCGCTCCCACAATCCTGGTGTCTTCCTTCCCTCCCTTACCTGTAGTCTATCATATCTTTACAAAGGTTCCGAGGGAATATTTCCATCAATGGAAAAATGGTTCTACTGTAGTTATACAGGGATTCAAAGGAAATAATACAAAACATGCAAGACAACTTCCCCCCAATGTCACAATGCGATCCCCATATCCCCCGTCTTCTATCTAGGGGACTATATGGAGACGTACACCCTTTAGCTAAAGGGCAGCTGAGTATGTTGGATCTAAGTTTTAGGGTGAGCTGAATATGTCACAGTTCATATCATTTGGGGCCTCCAAGCGACGTCTACGTGTGATGTAGTCTAAACTCCTTAAAGGGGGATATGCAGGAGGTTATATAGGGGACGTGTAGAGGGGTGATTAAGGGGCATACTAGGAGTTTAGACTAGAACCCCTTTAATCCCCTATATAATTCCAGTTTCCATTTCACTTTCCATGTTTTCTTCATTCTCCATTCAGGACGTTATCAAGTCAACTTGGAAGTTGCACCTTCCGAATTCCTTGTCCATGTAGATACTCCAGTAGTCGGATTTTTTCCCCCGAAAGGGGCCCAGATGTTTGAAGAAGGCAAAAAGTGTCCAAACGCTGCTTAGGGTTTAGGGTTGCCACCTATCTCCGCTGGCATTTCTCCCAAAATGCTGCTCCTGATGGCTGCTCCTGATGCAGAGGTCTTGCAGACAAGCCTTATAGAAAGTGCTTTATAGGAGGAGCCCTTTTATCTCGTGTAACTTCCGGATCGCTAGGATTCCCTCTCACCCATATTCAGAGAAACGCTATGTAGATCCAAAAACAGCAGGGCCCTATTATACACCCCAATATACTACATCTGAAATCCGAGACCCTAAGCCCCGAGATGTCCCAACGTTACCTCTATACCTTCATATTCCCTTTCGAGGGGGACTAGTGAATCCCACCTTTATATCCCCTTCAAAACGACTCCTAAGTTTAAAAACCCCATGTGAGCTATAGTCTAAACTCTATATCCCCCTGTTTAACCCCTATAGTAGTCCCCTATATAATCCCCTATATAACTCCCTTTAAGGAGTTTAGACTATAGGTCATGTCAAGGATGGTGTTACAGTGACGACAGGTCTCAGACGCCAAGGCCGAAGAATCTTCACGAGGCGTGGGGTTCAGGGTTTCCTTGGAGGGTCATGGGAATCAGTAACTACATGGTGAACTACATATCATTGAGCTTCTAGCCTTACTTATAACACCAGTACTCCCTTGCATAGGTTACCTTAGTTATAAGTGGGGATTTAACCCAGTTATAAATGGCTTTTACGTTCCATGAGCCTACAAGTAGGGTTGAGCCCCTCGACTTTACCCTAAAGGATGCTTGCTTCCTCGAGATGGCACCTTCCTTAAGCCAGTGGCATTGGGCTCCCCGCGGTAGTTAGTAAGGTTCCTTCTTCAATGCTACAGATAGTTGTTTAGGCCTTTTTCACGTTCGGCACCCCCACTGAGCTTCCGGAAACCCATCTAGGACAATATCTTGATAAGAAGGAAGGAATGTCCTCCATATAACTGGCGCAAAGACGCTATAGGTGGGTAGACGAACTTCACTGTTCTCAAGTCAGCCTCAAGAGAGCTTCTGAGCATTGTATATGATCTTAGCTTCTGGCAGAATGGAGCTTCAGTTTGAAGTAGAGATAAGCGTTGGAATCCGCGTTGGAATCCTTAGGCAGATGTGTATAAGTGTGGCTGATGAATTGAGGGCAGGTGCCTTGTCAGAAGTAGGAGACCTTCTTTGGAAGACGACCTGCTGAGTCCCTGATCCGTAGCTGCCGTAGCTGTCCTGCTGCTTGACTTTGCCACATGAATTGACGCAACGATGGCTGCAAAAGAGGGCTTTTTTTAATGGTGATATGGCTGCCGCCGCTCAATATGTTTGGTCTGGAACAAGGACATCCCGATCCAGACCCCGATCCANNCGTTCCAGACCCCTCCGTTCCATAAGGTTGAGCATCGAGCGATCCTGTCTCACTCTATAGTTCTTCCAAGATCGGAAAATCATCTGGCCTGTGCACATGGAGATTCCCTCCATGAACATCTGACCCTAAGCCCTTTCCTATTCTGCACCGCACCCAGGGCGGCACGGTTTTTCATCCTGTTTGCAGAACTTGCTGTGCCTTCACTGATCCATGATGCAGTCGTTGGTATTAGTGGTCATGACCCTGCTCCTCAACATGCTCGCCTATGACCAGCACCGAGATACGTACTCAAGCGGATACATCATATTCTTTCAAGCACATCCCACAGTTGCTGTTACTGCTGGTGATGATACAAGAAGTCGTAACCGTAAAGCGTAATTGCAACTATCCGAAAATATTAGTTCTACTAATAGTTAGCATAATAGTAGCCTACCAGTAAAGCAGCCATAACAACAAGCTTCAAAACAAGGATATATATATATATNNATATATGTATGTATACACATATATAACTATATGTGTACACTATACACATTAGGATCAACAAGGCCGTGTATGCTGCTGGTCTATAGCTAGGTCGGAGAAGTCTCAAGTGTTTCTCAGGCTGTAACCTAGATTCTCCCATGGTTGTTGTTGTAGATCGCACTTGTGTTTCGTAATATGCCTTAAGTCCGTATAAAGGCCTATGAAAATCCAGTCTCCATTATTTACCGTTTGACTCTGCATTGTTGGGGGTAGTACTTGGTAATACTCACATGTAGATCCCCATACATCTCCTAAACTAATATCCAAAACCCTACACCCTGACTAATGTAGCAGTTTCCATTTTCTCCGTGGATATACCCCTATGGGGTTCCTCTTTTGGAGACCCGGCAGTATGGGGTAATGTGCCTACTAGTCTGTGAGTCTGGGAACCCAAAACCTTAAACCCTAAACCTGAAATTCTAAGCCCTAATCCCTGAACCCTAATCCCTAAAACCCTAAACCCTAAGCCTTAATCCCTAAACCTCAATCCCTCAAACCTAACCCGCATTGTCCAGGCAGCACTGCGCGGTGAAGTTGGGCGCTCAGACGCATCAGGGGATCACCCAGCTTAGAGTTTTGGATGGGGTTTATCAAGGGTTTCAGGCTTGTACCCCTAGGATTGTACCCCTGGGTTTTGGGATCCATTTAAGGGACCCTAGGGGACTACATTGGCCCATATAAGCGCTATATTAGGGCTATATTGGCCAAAAAACCTTTTAGGGGTATGACCTTAGGCGTACCAGGAACCCTTGGGTTTAGGGTTTAAAGTTACTGGCGGATAATATGGTGTTTGGAGACGGACCTCATAGTCAAAGTAACTCCTAGGGTGGAGGCTAGGAAGGTGGTGCAAGATTTCCTCCATCCACGGCAGGGGTTCCTTAAAAGAGTTATGCCGGGTGACATTGGAATATCTATAGCACTTGGTTCAGGTTTTTTCCTCAGAGCAATCGCAAAATGGTAGTTTTCCTAAATAGGCTAGGGTGTCTCAGTAACCCTAGACCCTAAAGCCTAAAAGCAAGGTCAAGTTCATCGAGGAGATGTTGGACGAAGAGTCGCTGGGCTGGCATTGGGTCTGTCTCAAAGGATCCTAAGCAAACTCCTTAGGGAGGATTCAAGGTTTAGGATTTAGTGTTTAGGGTTTGGGGTCTACATCTGTATGAGCTAGTTTAAGTTACTGTAGTATCTAATGGAGAATCAAATGGAAAAGAACTTGGGAAATAAAATGGAAACTGGGGGACTATAGGGATTTGAGATTTCGTCTAAACTCCTTGAAGGGAGCTATATAGGGGATTCTATAGGGGAGTAGCTTCTGGGGGTTATGAAGGGGGATGCTAGAAGTTTTGACTATAGCTCCTATGGTACAAAGGGGTCAGCTAGTATCCCCTATATAAGTGCTTAGGATTCTTTGATTGTGACAATTCGATGAGTCTTGCTGCTGGAGATGGGTGGGAAAAACTGAGGATCTCAATAAAAGCCCTGTGGCCCTATGGACTACAGCGGACCTCATAATCTCCTTACATTCCCCAACACCGCGGTCCCTATAGGTTTATAGTCCCCCTCAAGTAGATAAAATATGGCTCCGGGTGTAGTATAATGACATCCCCATATACCCCATATTCTATCTACTTAAGGGGGACTGTAGCTCCATGTTGAGAGTCCTCCAGATTCTTGTCAGCATCATGTGCGTGTTCCGAAGATGCCGGAATAAAGGCTTTAGGCTTTAGGGATTTAGGGTTTAGGGTTCAGGGTTTAGGGTTTAGGGTTGATGTCTTAGGGGAGTAGCATCAGAGAGCTTTATCGATGCTACCAAGGAGCATTGACATCAACAAGTGGGACGACAAACAGATTGCGCAGCAGACCCAGACCTTGCGCACAGGTAATATAGGTGTTTTCCTAAATTAGGGTTTAGGGGTTTAAGGTTTAGGGTTTAGGGATTTAGGGTTTAGGGATTTAGGGTTTAGGGTCCCTATAATAAGGACTATAGTATTTTGAGGTCTATATTGGGGGTCCCCTAATTTTGTGAAACTACCATATAGAGGCCCACATCATTACCAATATCTTGGCCCGAGGTTCCCGATAAACTTTACGGTAGAGGGTTTAGGGTTTAGGGTAGTGCATATAGACATCAGCATGGTTTCTACGGTATAGTGAAATTAGCTTTCCATGAGATGCGCCAAGATGACAGGAGCTGTGTCCTGACGTTATTCTGCAATCAACCCTCCTTGTTTTGACATGGAACCTTCCCTGGACTCTAGGCTATGAAAGGGAGCGTTTCGTTGGGGCGGTGACCGGTGTAAATGATCATGCAGACATTTGCCCCGGGAAGCCGACAAACATCTGTCAAAGCCTGCCCAGCCCCTAAAAAGTGGAGAGCAGCTTTTCCACAAGCAAACTCAGACTCTGCTCCAAGACTAGCAACGCCAGAAACATGATACACTTTACAAAAACCCTGATGCAAATCTCAGCAACCCCTAAACCCTAAACCCTAAACCCCAAAACCCTAGAGGCGACCTTTGACAAAGACAGCAGGGGTTGATCTCAAACTGGTCGTATGAGACGGTGCACCTTGAGGCCACTGGGATATGCTGTTGCTTGCCAGGGCCCAAGAAATCTTGCAGATGGGGTTCTGGGGATGGCAGCGCAATCATTTTAGATGCTTCGGGTAAGGATTTAGGGTTTAGGGTTTAGGGTTCAGGGCTTCTGAAGATGTGACAGGGATAATGTTTGTATGCGCTACAGAGTGCAAAAGTTGGCGCCTGATCGCAAGGATGTCCTTGCAGTTATGCCGCCAGCTTCCGTTGGTGAACAGCTCCCTTTCCGGGCGTATATGGTAATTTCCCAAAATAGGGAGACCCCAGTATAGAACCCCAAATACTACAGTCCTTATCACAGGGACCTCCAAAAAAACCCTAATTTGGGAAATCCCCATATGAGTAGTATTTTATTTGGAGGATACTATGGTACCCAATGGAGAGTAAGATTATATCCTCCTTTAGGGTATAATATTTTATTTGAGGAATATTATCTTACTAGGTTCAACCACAAAAAAACACTACCCATATTACAGTCCCGTGCAGGCAGCCCACAGATGTGCAATCCGGGGCCTTGGGCAGAAGGGGGATCCATGAATCCAAAGGGTCTTGAAGTGCACAAGGCCAAGCAGTTCAGGGCTGCAGTCCCCCGTAAGTAGATAGAATATGGCTTTCGGTACAGTATAATAAGATCCCCCCTATACACCATATTCTATCTACTAAAGGTGGGACTATACTTAGCCTCTTCCAGAATTTGAGACCTTGAAGCTCTTGCTGCCCTGAATCGTCAATTTCAGCTCTTGGCAATTGATAGAGCCTCAGATTGCATAGATGCTGCTGCATCTCTTTGCTGATGCATTGCAAGGGAGGTTACCTACGTGGCTTTCAAAGAAATACTACAACTCTCTGCAAGAAACATGAAAGTCTCTACAAAACTAAGTTGCCACCTTAAATTCAAAGGGTCCAGGGTCTATGGCCACAAGAGACATATCCAGGTGGCCACGTCGCTGCCGTGAAGGTGCTTTTGAAGAGAGGCCTGGCCTTTAACGACCAATATTTGGATTTTGTGGGGATTGTATACCTGGACCCCAAAAGTATGTAGAATAATGATTTTTTGGGCTATCATTCAGGGTTTAGGGTTTAGGGTTTAGGGTACCTACTTTTGGGGTTGAGGTAGGTTTCTTTGATGCCTAATAATGGAAAGAGAACATGGCAACTGTCAGCACATAGACCCTGCTTACGGTGCAAATTATACCGTAGTTGTGCCCCTAGCTTTAGGAGATGGATTGGCTATAGTCAAAGCGGGGTTTTGGGTTTAAGGGTTTAAAGTGGCCCACCTATCAAGGACCTCTACCGTGCACAGTCCTTGTTTCGAAGATATCTAGGCCCAAAACCCTAAACCCTGAACCCTACACCCTAAAACCAACATATTATTGAGTTGGTACTTCTGGACTTTTTGTGCACTGCTAGCCCTGGGTCTAGGCTTGAGGCTGTGGAGCGTGCGGCCTGGTGCAATAGTCCACCTGAAATGTAGTAGAGTCTAAGCTCCTTAAAAGGGGTATATAGGGGATTTGGTAGGGGATTACTTTTGGCGCTTTACGGGGGGGGATACTAGGAGTTTAGATTATGGCTGAAATGCTAACTTCCACCGAGGTTAGACATGCCCTGGAGGGGAAGTGATAGTTGTCAAGGGGTCCGAAATATTAAGTAGTCATATTATAAGTTATAATCTTAATTGTTTAAAGGGGGGGTATATAGGGGGTCATGCAGAGAAGAATTATAGGGCCCATTAAGGGTGATACTTATAGCTCATAATATAATAACTCCTTCTCCAGGAAAGAACTGATGCATCTTGGGCACCCTGTGGTTGCGACTCCACTGACAGGAACGTACAGGGCGGTCTCACAAGCACTTGCCCATGATTAGGGTCCGCACGAACCCTTGCCAGCACCTTTTCAGGAGTGTAAAGGGAAGTCTCGTTTGTTTCAGGAAATTCCACGAAAGATCATCTACGGGATCTGATCATGGAATGGTGGCGACGCAATTTGTGCTCAAGACACCTGCAGGCCACTTCTCTACAGATACCTGGTTCCACGCCACCGTTTTCTTACTGGAGTTGAGAGCATGTAGGGCCCCGTAGTATTGGGAAGTCAGGCAGCTTTAATTACGGGCACACCGCTCCCTCAATATGCCACATCCCATGAGAGATCGACACTGGTTTGAACAGGGTGAAGTTGACAGCGCGAAGAGGTTCGTTATGTAGAGCATGCGCAATCCCAACATGCTCCGTGCCGTCTTTGGGCAATCACTCCCCTTATGCTACCCCCAGAAAGCTGCCCTGTATTGTGGGGTTATTTAGAGCGAATGAGGGCTAATTTACGTTGATTACATGGGACTTAATATACCAAACCGGATAAAACCTAAACCCAAAATCCCTACACGTCCCAAAAGCCCTAAACCCTCAACCCTCTAAACACCTAAACCCAAAGTCCTAAACCCCAAAACGCCCTGGACTCTCAACCCTCTAAAAACCTAATCTGCCAAAACCATGAAGCACTAATTTGGGTCAATCCCCCACCCAGTAATGGATACCACAAGGAACTATTATAGGTATATTAAGGCCCTATGAACCCCATATTCAAGGGCTATTACTGTAGGTCAGGATTGACCTAAGGACTACCTGCTAAGCCTTGCCAGGTGCTGATGTAACCTTGAAGGATGGCCAGGACCCAATGTTTTGGGATTACTTGGTGGGTTTAGCGCCTAGGGTTGGAGCTTTGGGTTTAGGCTTAGGGTTTTGGGTTTAGGGCTTTAGGGCTTTGGGGTGTAGGGTTGAGACTTGGAAAGTATCCTTATAACCCCTTAGAAGCCCCATAATAATCCCAGCTTTCCCATCATTGACCTACTTACTAAGTCCCTCTAACCCTCCAAGAATTGCAACCACAGACGAGCTTCCCAGCTAAGGGGGGCAAGGGAAGGTTAATGGTAAGTATAGCCCGATTCTACATGGTACTTATAATCCCTTTAAACCATGTTACGGAATTTGGGAGCATTTATACATTTGCTATGGCTAACTTCGGGCTGGGATATAAGCACAGTTAAAGCCTGGGTCACTATTCATGTAGGCTTGTTTTTTTTACACAACTCCGACTGGGTTCTAAACTGGCTTGCTGTTAAAAAACTTAAATTACTAGAATTGGGAATTAGGAAACCTTGTTACTTACTACAGACCCTTAGCATGGTAACTTAATAGCAACTTAATATAGACCCCTTTATAGCAAGATAGTAAATACCTTGAAGCTCCAGGTAAGCCAGCTCAAAGTAAGACAGATCATCAATGGATTTCTACACCTGAGATGGAGGCAGGTGTGGTTTAGAGTAGGTAGAAATCTACTATAAATCTGATTCTCTCCAAAATATGAGGACAATGGCCGCGGGGGGCGGGGGGGGGGGGTGGTAAATTTCAAGCCGAAGCCTAAGCCCTAAAATATCTGGTAGTTCACGCTTTCTTGTCCATTCCCCTATATACAACTGTTGAGTGCCGTGCAACCAGGAGGGGTTAAGGCCCTCCTTGCTCCCTACCTCCTGTTGATGGCGGAAGTCTTGCACCATCTTGTATACGCGACTGGGTTGGCCTTTGGGATACTTGGACATTTTCCTTTTGGGTTTCATAAGGACCCTATATACTAATATTTTCAAAGGGTTCCCAAGGCCAACCAAGGCTATTACCTAGGCCCTAGGAATGTCCAGTGCTATGAGGTCCCTGTAGGTGGTGCCAAAATCTCATCCAGCGCACCGTCAGGACAACACCATGCTGCACTATGCCGCAGGCTATGGACACATGGAAGTCCTCAAGGATGGAATTAGGGGTTTAGGGTTTAGGCTTAAGGTTTAGGGTTTAGGTTTAGGGTTCAGGGTTTAGGGTTTAGGAACAATGTCTGGATCAATGTTCGGGATCCTTTGTACTTCTTGGGGGTATGGGATTCCTTATATTCATGTAAAACAGGACCTGTTTTTGTTCCTCGGGTGATGTGGGCTAAGATGTATCTTGGGTACTGCCCCCCTTGTGTAAGAGTTGGATAATATTTCTAATGTAGCCATTTATGGCCTTTAATATGGCCCCTAATATAGACTGTTACAGGGAGGGGGGGAGTACCCAAAATGTATGGTGAGAAGGGTCAACTACTGCAAGAGCATTCGGAACTTAATAAGCGTGTGATCGAAATACGGCATGCGGCGTCCTGTATGTGCGGGAGTTTCCATGGGGCCAAATAGATAGCCCCCAATAGACCAATAGACGAAGATCCCCAGTTGTAGGGACTGCCAAGAAGCGGCCCTTTTTTTTGGAAAGCCCCAGATAATCTACCAAAATGATCACCAGGTTGCACTGTTTAGATTTTGGCCACAAGACTTCAGGATTTGGAGGTATTGGCCTCTTCTGATTAAACGGTTCTTGAAAAGGAGCTTCGAAGTGTTGGTCCCCTTCATGTGCATGTGCTCTGTGACGCTACTGCCCGAGCAGTTTCCTTTTATAAGGAACTGCAAGACAGGGCCAACCTTCACACGGATTGAATCAGGGGTACCGCAGGAGCTCCTAAAGGCGGAAATTCTGTGCCTGCTGAACCCTTGCTGCTCCATATGAACACTGAACCTTTTAGCCCTTGAAACCTCCAGATTACATCCCCCTGCCTGCTACATGGGGTTTGGCTCCCTTTTTTTTGGAGCCCCTGTAGTAAAATTGCGTATGGGACCCCGCCTCATTCATGGAAACCCCTACATACTTTCAATCTTGCAAGCAACCTGACAATTGTTCCAGGAGCTGCTAGATGCC